CAGGGTGTTCCCAAAAAAAAAAAACTTGTTCGCAGAGAGTGTATTTTTTTCTTTTGCGAAATTTGATTTTATACCGTATAATATTAAATGTAATTATATTTCTTTGAATCACTGATTCTCTTTGACCAAAAGAAAGTATCAATGATTCTATAGAATTGAGTTCCTTCATTTTACAATTCTATAGAATATCAGAAACATGGTACTTCACATTTATGTTATATTTTTGTCTCTTCTTATGTCTACAATATTTCCTCAAACTTGATTACAATTCATCATTAGCAAAACCAACTCTTGGTTTCAGTTCTCCGTTGATGAATGCATCCATGTTCCGGGTGCTCAAATTTTTTGATAGTTTTAACTGCAAATTAAACATGTTAGGATACAACATACAGTAATGAAGAGGAGAAGGGCTTTAGCTAGTGAAGCTCTATCAAAAAGCTTATTGTTACCGGCTTCTATTTTTCAACAGCTTTGTAGAGCATCATTAACCTGTCATCAACAAATCAATAAGATTGGCTCATGTTTCAGGAATCACCAGTCTTTGCTTCAGATAATATTAAGTTCACCTTTAGTTCAGCATGCACATTTGCCGAATCACAAAATCTTGCGAAAAAATGATTCTCAGAGTATTTGAAATGCTAATCCGACTTCACGCCCTGTTTTCTCAATATTGCTATTCACAAACCATGTGTTTATGTACCTGTTTTCAGTTTCCCCCAGAAGATTCTCTGAGTTTTTTTTTTCTTTCTCAGTTGCGGTTAATAGAAATTTTGGTTTAGCAAAGTGGTCCTTTGGATTTACTTACCTCAAGAAGAACATTCTCAGGAGATTTTAATACCAAACGGACCAAAAGTCTTTCCTACCACAGTCACTAAACTTGTGTTCTCCGGCAGATTTCTTGGATTTGCTTTATCTTAGCTTGTATAAGTTCGAAAATATGTCCCAAAAAAAAAACATCAAAGACTATAGCTTTCATACTCAAGAACTGGCATTGACCAAACGCAAAACGATCCAATCCGCAAGTCCTGAACAAAAAAAACTTAATCTGCATATTCAATATAGATCACATGTGTCAGTTAGTAAACTAAATATTTGATAAAAAAAAAGGATAAAAATATTGTACTCCTATATTGTGTAGTGATGAATCTGACTTGGAATACTTGGAGTTCAGGTTATTATCTAATGCAAAAACATGTTTAAGGAAAAAATAGATTAATCACAATTGCTTGTAGCTTTATTATCATTAGATGAGAAAACGTCAATCATGCATCATGATCAGAGAAATTATATAATCGAAACAGGAAACAATTAGGAACTACAACCAAAAAAGTTCTAACCTGAAGCTTAAGAGTGCTAGAGTAACCCAAACTATATTGATTTCGGTCAATTATTGGATCAACAAAAAATTGTTCTTGCCCAGGAAATCCAATATATTCTCCATTTCGTAAGATTCATCTGCATTACCACATGAGACTTGTCATAATGATTCAAAAAAACAGCAGAAGGGAAAAAAAATTATAAACTGTCACTTTTCATGATATACAAATATCAAAATATAGCATGAGATTAATCATAAATCTTACCATAGACAGTGCACCTTTCAGCTTCAGTATTAACCATGCCAATAAGCACATTACTGGTTTTGATCTCAAGAAACAGAAGTTTCTCAACCTCGAGTTGAAAATAGTGAGGAAGGACATTTTTTAAAAAAAATACAGTGAGGAAGAGCATCTGAGAGTACAGATCTGTTTAGGGAATTGTGATGAGGGCTGCAGGCGTTGTAAGCCACATATTTATAGTAGTCACGCGATGATAGCTGAACCAGCAGAAGAGATGTATGCATCTTGAGTAGTAGCTAAGAAGAGTAATAATAACAATTCATATGGTAGATGTGAAGTGAATATACACAGTAAGAAAAGCAGCAGAAGAGGTTGCATTCGGATTCTCTTTGTTTAAGGGAAGTAACCTGTGAGAGATTTGAAGCACTAAAAATTGTATAAAGCTTTCCAAATTCTACTTCATGATCTACTGAGTATCCGTATAGCATGTTTCCCATGTCTTCTCGACTGATCTTGCATCAGGGCCTTCATGTGATCTTCTAATCATCTAAAGACGGTAAAAACAAACACATTAAAGTTTATATAATCACGAATGAGAACATCATTAGAAGTTTTACACTTACCTTTAAGTTTGATTGTGTTAGAAAACTCTCAGTGCAACCAGCTCCTCAAAGAAGTCCAATATACATAGCTCTAAAAAAAATACATCACAGATACAATTTTACAGCTCTAAAAAAAACATAGTTGACTAATTTAGGAATCAATTATATGGATCTAAGTTGTGCAAATTTTATATAGCCAAAGAATTACCTCTTCGTCGATAAGGATCATCTCCTGTCCAATAAGGGTTTTCGTCCTCGGATTTATAGCCTCCCAGAAGTGAACCAAACGGAACCTCAAGGACGCTTCATGTGGACCAAGAGTTACATATCTGAAGAGCATCGGAGGTGGGAGAGCCACGGGAGCTTTTGGTTTGGTCGGAGTGGTTGACAAAAGCGGAGCCTTGCCGTGAGGCTTGGAGACGTTCACCGAGGAAGCTGAAGAGTTCTCAGCTTGTTGAGCAGTCGCGGAGGAGGAGTAACCCTCTCGATTAGCCACCGCAGATGATGAAAGAAGCTTCTTGTTGTTCTTTTGGCCGGTAGGGGCTGAAGATTTGGATTTGGGTTCCATCGGAAATCTTGTGAGAGAGTAGAGGTTTTGAAAAGCTTAAGCGGAGAATCAGCCAAAAAGAGACACCTATATATACTAAATTGGAGAGGAAGTTGAATAGAAAAACTCATTGAATAAGAGAATTGAAGATTGATGAGATTGTATGGAAGAATTGATTAGAGAAGAGTGTGGGGTTGATTAATGAAAAAACTGTAGTGGTCTAAACGGAGGAAGTAGAAAGGTGGAAGGAGATGAGACGAAAGGTGAGAAGAGAGGAGATGCTAGCTTTCTACGACACCAATCGGTGTTTACGAAAAGCGGTCTTTGGGTCAAAACATATTGTGCTGATTATTTAAACCCAAACATAAAGGATGTCCAATAAAATGAAGACAATAAAAAAGGCCCAAACAAAAGACCAAGCATAAATCAGACGAAAATCAGAACCGCTTTTGGTCAACCGGCTTCCTTTCGTGAACCAAGCTGATGTGTATATTTAAAGCCCCCCTATTGGTCAATTAAACTTGCATACGTGGACAGGCTGTGGGGGCTTTATTTGCAACTTTTATTAGTGTTAGATAACTAGTTAGATTTTTATCTGCTAAAACAAAACCCAAAATAAAGAGTAGTTACTTTTGCAAGAGATTTCTTTTTCTCTTTTTCACGTCAACATGTATACAATTTGGTAATGGGTTAGCGTGTAAATCTCTATAATATTATTTGAGAAGTCAGTTTCCTACGTGTCGCGTTCACGTTAACTCTCGCAATGGTTGATTACATAGATACCGTTAATGAATTATTTGATTTTAAGATTATTATTAATTTTTTATTTAGTTTCTTTTTTACCTTTTTCCAAATAACATATATAATAAAAAGGAAATATTTCTAAACTTTTAAAACAAATTTAAAAACGAAAATATATGTATGTAATATGACTTTATTAAAAAGGAAAGTTCACAAAATAGTAATATCCTCATTAATATATATATTTTAAATAACATAAAATATATTTTCAAAATAATAAAAATATGTATGTTCATGAACATTCAAAAATTTACCAGTTACACTTTATTTTCTAATATTCTTTAGAAATCAACATATGATTTGATAAATATTATGAAAATACATGTATATTTAAGCGATAAATAAACTAACTTGATTTGACTTAACTAAAATAAAGGGTAAATAAATATCATGAAAACACATGTATATTTAAGCGATAAATAAAACTAATTTGATTGGACTTAACTAAAATAAAAAATAATTATACTTCAATTTTAATTTAAAAATATATTTAACTCAATATACTCCAAAACGAATGACTCGACTAATCTAATTTATATCCAAAATTAAACATCTAACTACAATAAGAACATATAATGTTATCATAATAATAATAATAATAATAATAATCTATTTAATTTTATACATATAAATTAGAGGTTGACCCAAAGCATATTAAAAAGAAAAAAAAAATATTAACCAATTACAATTTAATTATTTTGTAGAATTTATATATATGCATGAGACTTCAAAATATTATCATTATATTCATTTATGTAATTTTGAATCAAACACTTCAGTTTATTATTTATTTCATTTTAAGCACAATATATATTAAGTTATACATAATTTAACTATAATATATTTACATATCTAAGACAATAACCAACCGAAATGAAAATAAGAAAATTAATCAAAGTTTTATTATATTTAGAATAAAAAATATTATAGCTGAACTCGAAAAACAGATATTATCCAATATACCAAATTGATAATCAAACCGACTATTGATCCAAAAGATAATTAAATCTACAATAATATATTCAAAGTCATAAAATTTATTCAAAACTAAAATTAAACATTAATCAATTATTATAAAATTTTACTTTTATGAATATTTATACCCGTGCATGGGCACGGGAAAATCACCTAGTTATTGTTATATGTCTATAACATCTCTTTTTCTTTCTTTTTTTTGTACAACTAAAATGACAATAATGCTTTTTAAACTACTTTTCCCAAAATTATTCGAAATATTATTGTTCACACAAACATTTCACCTTTTTCCGTCTCTCGCACACTAACCCCATTCCTCTCTTAAGTTACAAAAAAAAAACCCCATTCTTCTCTTTAGTCGTAAACGCTCTATATATACGTGAAGTCCCCGATCTGTTAAGTTCGTGCCACCAGCTTTTATATTAAGAGAAACCACTTACAAATCTAAGTGAGAACTCTCTTCTTCTTTCTCCTAAAAACCTAAACAGTTTATTTTAAACAAAAAACAAGAAAAGCATGCCTCTCTTCGACACTCACAACACATGGGCCTTTGTCTTTGGTTTGATGGGTATGATCGCTTGTGTTGATTCGTATGGATATTGTATCAACGAGAGTAGTTATAGAAATGTAATACTATCTATTAATACCATATGTTTTGTTATATACTTTATAATTTTCAGGGAATGTCATCTCCTTTGCTGTGTTCCTCTCTCCTGTGTAAGTTCTATTGACAGCTTACTTCAATATCTATTAGATAACCACCACACATAATTGTTATTTATATTTAGTACGTGTTAATACATGTCTACCATACATAAACATATATATATATCCTCAGTAGTAATATTGAGATTGTATGAAATGGTTGCAGGCCAACGTTCTATAGGGTTTGGAAGAAGAAGACAACAGAAGGGTTTCAGTCTCTTCCTTACGTTGTGGCGCTCTTCAGCGCGACACTTTGGCTTTACTACGCAACGCAGAAGAAAGATGTCTTCCTCCTCGTCACCATCAACTCTTTTGGATGCTTCATAGAAACTATTTACATCTCTATCTTTCTTGCATACGCCCCCAAGAAAGCCCGGGTACATAAACACCCTCAAACTTGATATATGAACATATGTTTCTATCAAATCAGTCCGCTAACATTTTTTTTTCTTGGAACACAATCAATCCGCTAACTAAAAACACTTCTTAATGGACGCAGATGTTGACAGTGAAGTTGCTTCTTCTTATGAACTTTGGAGGATTCTGTCTGATTCTCCTTTTATGTCAGTTCTTAGCAAAAGGAACCACACGTGCGAAGATCATCGGAGGAATATGTGTCGGATTCTCTGTTTGTGTTTTCGCGGCTCCTCTAAGCATAATCGTAAGCACTAGTTAAGTATATATAAAAGGGAGTGGCTAATTAATATTTAGTTTCAATAACTAACATATTTTGTAATTTAAATTACAGAGGACAGTAATAAAGACAAGGAGTGTAGAGTACATGCCCTTTAGCTTATCCTTAACCCTCACAATCAGTGCTGTGGTATGGCTCCTTTATGGTCTTGCTCTCAAGGACATATATGTAGCTGTAAGCCATTTCTTCTTCCTCTCTCTTTGCTTCTATTTCTATATGTAACATGATTACATACACACATATATATTATATAGGTATTCATTTGTACAAACATATGGTACTGGCATATTGCACGTAGACATGTTTGTCTTTATCCATATATGTACCGTCAAGACACGAGTAAAAACAAACTTAATTTCGAAACTGACGCCTTAATCAATATAATTTGATTTGAACTTTTTGATTAGAAGAAAGTGAATATATTTTAACGTTATCATCATGCTTTTCATGATATCATATCATATCAAAAAAAAAAAAAAGATATCATATCATAATCTTACAATTATGATAGTGCCTATAAATGAAAGTGGGTGCTTTTGTTTCTAATGTACCTCTGACTTTGAGGTTCTAATCATAGATTCATAGATAAAAAGAGATACGAATTTACAAAAAAGAAAGCAATTAAAGAAAGCAAAACCCTTTTGTTTGGTATTGTTCTATACGATTAAAGAGACTCGCTTTACGTTCCAAAGAAACATTAAAGAATTTAGCTTTTGCAAAAGAAATCTACTCTATTAAAATAGAGTCATTCTTTTTATATACCGATACAAGTTGTCATTTAAATTTGGACATTTTTAGAGTGTTACAAATAATATAAGCCATATAGTTGACTGAACCGAATTATTTAAATTAAACCGACGGTTATTTTTGGAATACAATATTGGGCTTACTTTTGTTTTTAGCACAAATTATATACTTTGGTTTTTGGGCTTAGTATTAAGGGAAAATTCCAAAAAACATTGAATAAATTTCTACCTTAATGAATCAAAAATTAATTACTATTTTCAGGCCCAAAGGTAATTAATATTTTTAAGAAAACAAAATTTTCTATTATTAATCACTTATTTAAATTATGAACTTTAAAATATGTTAATGTATTTTTAATTTTAAATAAAAATCATTTTGTTTTGATAAATTTTAATAGTAACTTTTAAATAATTTATTATTTTATTTTTCTTAAATAATTTACTGGTTTTTAAAAAATTAAATGTAAAGCAAAACCAAAAACCATATCTAAAAACTAAAATTCAAAACCAAAAGCAGAAAACGCATGTTATATTTTTTCTTTTGTTTATTTACAAAATAAACTATTGTAATTTTTTTAAAAAGTTGTTATCTTTTCAGTTTTAAATTAGATGTTCGATTATTTAGGATTTGTTTGTTGGTAATATCAGTTCAAACTAACTCAGCGGATTTAAAAAATAAAAACTCAAACCAAAAGCTGAAAATAAAAAATATAAACTTAAAAACTAAAAATCAAAATCTAAAAATAAAAACTGAAACTAAAAATTATGCAAAACGATTACCACCACAAATTTTGGATTGCTGATTTTATACTAAAACATACTTTAAATAAAAACAAAATCCAATTATATAAATTTTTAATAATAAAAAAATTTCCATGGTTTTCAAGCGCGGGTCAAAATCTAATTTAATATATATTAGAGTTCTTTTTTCATTGTTACATTTTTTTTTTTGAAACACTTTTTCATTGTTACATAGAAATTATATTTTGTACGTAACTTTCTACCGGTGCCGCACGAGTTTGCATAAACTTTTGTCAATATATTTTTACGTACTATATTCATACGTTAGAAAGTGGAAAAGGGAGTGTATTAAATAATTGTCACGTTATTGCCACTTGTAACCAAACTTTTTTCTTTGCAGTTCCCTAATGTAATTGGTTTTGCTCTCGGTGCACTCCAAATGATACTCTACGTAGTCTACAAATACTGTAAAACGCCGCCGCATCTAGGAGAGAAAGAAGTGGAAGCTGCTAAGTTGCCTGAGGTGAGCCTCGATATCCTGAAGCTAGGTACAATGTCATCCCCTGAGGTTCGTCAAGCGAACAAGTGTACTTGCGGAAATGATCGGAGGCCTGAGATTGAAGATGGACAAAACGCTAAAAACGGCAAGCAGTTCTCATCCGCATCAGCTACATGAAAAAAATAACCTCGTTAACTGCAATGTTCAATTTTACCCCAACTTGATATACCAACCACTATGTTTACCCGTTACGCTGTCGTGTTTTTTCTGAGTTTTAACTTTTATCAAGTGTCCCACATAGAGAATTAAATTTCTGGATGATACATATGCATTTGCGAATGTTATATATGTTTTTCTGGAATTAAATTCTCAACTTCTTTCTATAAATGTATGTAATTACCTATTGGGAATATGTATATTTCCTATTTTCACATTTTTTTAAAAACCATCAAAATTATCTATCTTGATTTTCTTCTTTTTGTTATAATTATTTCATTATACGGTGGCTGATTGTTTCAAGTTTATATCAATACTAGATTACGCGAGTTTTAGTTTCAGATGTATTATATATAATTAAATTTTATATAGTTTTAAATTTGTCCAATTCGATTTTATGTTTAAATAACACTACAAAACTCTTTTGTATTAATAGTGTCAGACATTGTCTTATGTAGATATAACTTTTTAGTGAAAACACTAATTATGTACTGTTTGTTCGAAGTACAAAATCAAATTCAAACCTAACTGTTTGGTTAAAAAAATAAATTGAGAGTTTAGTTACTTATAATGTTAAGAATTATCCAAAATTTTTAAAATAATATAAAAATTTCTAAAATGTTTGGCCTTGTCCTTTATTTTGTAGGTTATGTCCAATTCATACTTAATTTTGGTCTTAACTTTGCAACCGTATTATATTTTTTGATAAAAATTTCATAAATAACTTGACAAATATTTTGGTAATTTGAAAAAAATTATGAATTAAAAATATTTTTACATTTAAATCTGTATTTTTAAATTCAACGCGATCCTCGGTTAAACCGTTGATCCGATAATGTAATTTTGATTTTTAAAAATATTCATATTTAGAAATTCACTAAAACCCGAGACTAACCGATTGAACCGATGTATAACTGATATGTAACAACTGTAAAAATAAGTTTATTTTCATTGTTTTAAATATTATTTGAATTTTTTTAATTTAACTAAATAATTGGAAAAAATTATGAGAAATTAGTTAAAAAGGTGAGATTTCATATTTAATACTTTTGGACGTAAAAATAATTATAGTGTTATTTGGAAACAGATAGTAATATAAAGAAATTAGTATATCGTTTGGAAACATGTATAGTTGTATAAAGAAATAAATACATTGTTTGCAAACATGGATATTAGTAGAAAAAATGAAATATTAGTGATTTAATGTAGGTTTAACTATAAAGTAGAAAGATATATTTAATTTAAAAACTTACAAAAATAATATTAGATTTAACGTAATGTTTTTGATTTAATAAGATATATATTATATCATCATTCAAGAACTCCACTGCGTCGTATTTTCTTAAATCATTCCTAAACTAAAAATTGTAGACTTGAAGAAAATAAACTAACTAAGAATTAGTATATTGAAATTTTTCCAAATATGACTCAAACTTTATTTTAAGTGCAAAAGTATACCTAAACTTCAATTAAATGTAAAACTAATCTATTTGTTTTTTTATGAAATTACAGTCAGCCACTTATGACCAAACAAAAAATCAGAATTCATTTTTACGAATATAATCTCGGAAAGTCTTCAGAGTTTCTGTAAGTCTTCTGAGATTCTTGTAACATATGTTGTAGTATATTATGTTTTCTTAAAGTTAGATTTTGGAAGCTTAATATTTTATTTGAAAAAAATAAATTTGGACATATATGTGTATATTTCTATGTGTATTGAACACTTTTAAAATTGAATTTAAGTTTGATGAAGTGTTTAGTTAGTTAATTAAGTTTAGGGTTTATATTTAGGGTCTGGACGACTTCCATAAAGTCTTTTGATGAATAGTATTTACGGGCTAGACGACTTTCAGGAAGTCTTTTGATGAATAGTATTTATGGTTTAGAAAACTTCCTTGAAAGTCTTCTCAATCAAAAATATTTGACCTAAATAGAAATTTTTGTCTCCATATATGAAGAAAAATTTACACATTATCTCTCTTCTTCTCATATGGCTGCAACAAAAATGTAATATTTTTCACTCTAAAACTCTCTTAACTCTCTCTAATCTCTTTGAAATTTGAAAAGACTAAACTTTATATCAATTTCTCATTTTTGTCTCATGTCTTTCTTACTAATTTATCTTGTTTTGCAGGTTTTTAATCACATAGTTCTCATATTCCACTCCTTTAAAAGTAGATCTATAAAATTTAGATATGTATTTTTGTGTGTTCTATAAATGTATATGTATATAATATTTCACTCATTTTCTCTATTTTTAAGCCATTTGAATGTTTTTGGATATGCAGATTTTTCAGATGAGACTTTGGAAGACTTTCTGTATATAAACTATAATATAACTTATATAACGACTAAGATTTATTATTTTAATAACAAATATATATATATAAATATTATTTTCAAATAAATATATTATTATACTAACTATTATGATAATTTTAAAATTGAATACTGCTAGTGCTTTGCCAATCACTTTATTAAAACCTTTAATGAAAACATATACCTTCTACAACATACTGTTACTGTTTTATCATCTAATTTACCAATCGAGGCCTAAGTTGTATAAGTAAAATTAAGTATTTAATTTTTATTTTTCAATTGTAAAACTAACCTGAAACGACATATATAGAAATTGTTTAATTATAATTAAATATTGAAATTTTATTTTTCTACTTGACTTATTTTCGTCCAGGAAAATCAAAATTTTGACACAATTCGGTCAAATGTAAAACTAATTTGTTTATCATAGACGACTTACCGGGAGGTTTTGTCTGGTATTTTCAAGATTTGTTTGTTAACAAAGAAAAGTGGAAGACTTCCGTAGAAGTAGTCACTAAAAACATATATAATCAATTGCAAAACTAATTTATGCATTGATCAGAAGACTTATGTAGTAGAAGACTTACACGAAAGTCTTCTGACATACATACCAGAAAATAATTGACTTCATAGCTTCAACCAGTGAAATAACTTGTTAGCACACATAAGTCTTTTCAAAGCACACATAAGCTTAAATAAAAATGACCTACCAAGAATCGTAAGCTTGAATGGCTCTATAACCATAAAAATTTTAGAATCAAAATCTTCGGTTTTTTTGGATGAATATAGAGAGAAAGTGAAAGAAATGTTATTTCTAATTCATAAGAAATGAGATAGAATGAATGTAAATCGATTTTAGGTGCATTAAGAGCTTCAAATTGATTGTTCATGGTAGTTGGTGTATTGATGAAAATAAGAATATTGTAAGTACGTGAAGAAGATAAGGATACAAGAGTAAAATACTCATTTAAAAAAAAGTACTGTCATTTTCGTTAATAATCCGTAATTATGGGGTGGGGTGAATAAGATAAATAAAATTTCTAAAAAAAAAATCATGGATTATTTTTACGTTTACCTTTGATCTTTGAGTCATATTTGCAAATAACCCTTATAATATTGTTTCATTTGTTAGTTTTTCTATAATAGCATACGATTTTTAAAAAAAAATATCTGAAACCATTTTTAAAACTCACTTAATCTCACAAAATTTCATTGATTTCTTCGTTGCAAGTCATACAAGTTCAAAGACATTATAGGCTTTGAAAAGTGTGTGTGTTTGGGGCGTCTCTTTTATTGTTAGGTCACAAATTATGAAAAACATTACATACATTATAATATAATCGACAATTATATTTGGCTTATGAAGATTCATGGCTGATTGTATCACTCTGAATCGTCCTATAAGATCTATTCTTATCGACAGTTTTTGTGTCATGCTGGAAATTTCTTTCAAATATTTCTTTTAATATTCTGCATAATTTGCTATCTCCCAAAATTGAACTCCAGTTCTCTTGATATAGAATCATTAATGAATCATTGCTCAAATCAGTGACCATGAGGGCTTCCACAAATTATTTACTGTTAGTTTTAGATTCAGTTTCGTACCAAACGCGTTTAGCCAAACATTTAAATTGGGCTTCATACATATGGACATGAGCTATATCCTATGAAACTATCATTAGTACTAAACAAGGTTATAAAGATCGATTTAAGAGGCATCTACGTCCCTGCCTAGCCGGTAAATCGGTATACAAAACAAATTCTCATTTATATTATTTAAGTTAGTTTAAACTATTTTAAATCAGTTAAGACTATTTTTATAAAATTTAAATCAAGGGAATTCACCAAAAACAACCTATATATTTATTTAAAACATAAAAGTATATCTCATATTTAATCAAATGCAAAACCAATATAAAAAGGTGGTAAAATTACTATTTAAACCTTATGACCAAACAATAAATCAGAAATGTATTTTATGTTTTTGTCATTCAGAAGTCTACACGTAATAGAAAAGAAGTCTACACATATGTTGACCTCTCATGAGAAATCTATTATGTATACTTATTTTGTAGTCTGTAATTTGATCTAATAGTTTAATTTTAGAAATGTATAAAAATATTTTTTGTGAACTTTTTAAGAAATCATCAATAGAAGAGTTAACATGAAGTAAATTAATTAATTTTTTTATAATTGAACAATTTAAAATAGTATATATTAATTTGGTAACCATTGTAAGACGATGTTCATGTTTTAGCAACAAAACGTTCTAACATGTTTGTCTTTTAGATTTAGACTTCTGAGGGTTATATTTTTAGATTGAGATTTGTTTTTGTTTTATTGAGTTAAGTTTGTATATTAATGTTTAATATTTTATATTTTGTATATTTTGATATTTGATGATACTTTTTTGATTATCAAGCAAACATTTTGTGTTTAAGATTCGTGGTTTAGTAGACTTACAATAAAGTCTATTTCAATGTAGATTTTTTTTCAGATTACCTTCAATTGTGTTTACAAAAAAATAATTATTGTTAAAGGAAATTTAGTTCTTTATGAATAAAATTGTGAAATCATAAATTATAACTATTTAAAAAATAAGAAATAAATTTAGTAAATCATATATTAATAAAATATTTTTTTTAAAAATCATTGTAGACTTACAAAGAAGTCTAGTCACCGTTAGTAATTTAACATAATTGAATTTTACCAAGTTAAATTTAACCTATCCGAACTTAAACCAAACTCTTTTTAACCTCATGGGAAATCATATATTAAAATTTTTAGAAGAATAAAGAATGAATATATATATATATATACATATATATATATATATTAATTAATTTTCTAAAGAACAAAAAAATCTGGTAGACTAAATTGTAAGTCTACCAAACCGAAAACAACTTGAGAT